CATGCTCCACACCTCGTCCCTCTCAGATTTTGGAAGGCACTTCAGATTCTTAAACCTTGGGTCGAGTGCTGTAGCTATCTTTAGAAATCTCACATTGCTACCTTCTTTGCGTTTTGTCAAATCTGCAGTGAAAATGTTTTTAAAATGAAAATGTGCTGGGTCATCATTCGAGACTGCTATAACATGAAATATGTGGCAGAATGCAGCTAAAATAGAACGGGGGACATACAATTCTCCCCCAAGGAGTTCAGTCACAAATTTAATTAACACATTATTTTTTTAACGCGCATCATCAGCATGGAAGCATGTCCTCTGGAAACGTGGTCGAAGCATGAAGGGGCCTACGAATGTTTAGCATATCTGGCACGTAAATACCTTGCAAAAGTGCCATGCAAATGCCTGTTCTCACTTTCTGGTGACATTGTAAATAAGAAGTGGGCAGCATTATCTCCTGTAAATGAAAACAAATTTGTCTGACTTAGCGATTGGTTGAACAAGAAGTAGGACTGAGTGGACTTGTAGGCTCTGAAGTTTGACACTGTTTTGTTTTTGAGTGAAGTTATGTAACAAAAAAAATCTACATTTGTAAGTTGCACTTTCACGACAAAGAGATTGCACTACAGTACTTGCATGAGGTGAATTGAAAAATACTATTTCTTATATCATTTTTACAGTGCAAATATTTGTAATAAACAATATATAATTTTATTTCAATTACAACACAGAATACTATATGAAAATATAGAAACACATCCAAAATAGTTAATAAATTTCAATTGGTATTCTATTGTTTAACAGAGTGATTAAAACTGCAATGAATCGCAATTAATATTTTTGAGTAAATCGTGTGAGTTAACTGTGATTAATCAACAGCCCTAGTCAAAATAAATATGGGTCAAATTCTGTTCTCAGTTACATCAATATAAACCCATACTAACTGCCTTCCATGATGTTATTGTGGACTTATGTCAGTGTAAATGAGGTTGAAATCTAGCCCTAACTTAGGGTTCCTCTATTGGCACAGATAGATAAGAAGTTTAAAAATTATGATGTAGCTGAGACTGCTCCTTGTACTATTTTTCTACCTCTGTTTCGGATACATTGAAACATGAAATAATTTTGAAATAATACAATATACACAATAATGTTCTCATTGTGAATGGCTGTTCAGCTACACTGAAAGATTAGATGACTTCATACTAAATTAAACCTGAATAAATCTGAATAAATAAATCTCTCTGTATTTCTCCTTATGAAAAATAATGAATAAGGCCCCAGTCCTGAAAACACTTACACAGGTGCTTAACTGCTTAATCAATGGAACTGCTCATGGTAGTAAAATTAAATACCAGTATAAGTCTTTGCAGGATCAGGGCCTGAGGAACAGATACCACAATCTTCACTCAGGCAGAATTCCCACTGCAGGATTCAGCTGTTTGATCATTACAAATCAAAGCAAATGATTATTTTAAAACTGAAATTAATAGGAAGACTTTTTCTGGGCCTTAATTTGTTGATTTTTGTTTTACTTTTATTCTTATCTGATTTTTTGTTAAAATGCAGGAAAATGTACGGTGGGGAATAATCATGCAGTGATAATGGATTGCATGAGATGAAATAGAGGATTTTTCATCTCTGTTTTCCTCGATTTCCTCACTTAATTGTTTGGAGATTATGCAAATAATGTGTCTGACTCCACACTCCTGAGCTTATCAAAACTCACACTGGGAGTTTTACCTGAGTGAGGAATTTGAGATCAGCTCTAACAGGGCTAGTTGTTTAAGAAAGCACTGGCTTGACTAAAGGATGAAGGGAACCTGAGGTTCAGTAAACTCTGTTTCTGCTGAATATTCAGATTTTTTTTCATTTTTGGCCTTCTTCCCTATGCATCGTATGTATTGCCTTATGTTATGCATTAATGGACAAAAATGCTCTTTAGCAGGTCAGTAAAAAGGTTGTGCAAACAAACCTCCCAGTGCAAATGTTATCAAATAGCATCACAGAAAATAGAAGTCAGAGGGATGAATTCTTTTCTGGTTTATCGCTATTGACTTCAATGGAGCTGTTCCAACACAGAATACATTACTGTGTTGTAAGAAACACTGGGACTGAGTCTGATCACACAGACACCAATGTAAATTAGGAATAACTCCCTGTAGTCAGTGGAGTTATACTGTACCCTTGTAACAGTGGTGTGAGAGGAGATTCAAACCTAATACATTTAAACTGATGTATAAAATGCGATACAGAATGAGACACATAGGAGGAGGAAGCTACATTATAACCATTTGATTACAATTTCACAGAGTTTTTAGGGGCAAGTGGTTTATCCTAAAAAAGTACAATTAGGGAGATAAAGTTGGATCATAATGATAGTGGTATAAATCTGTACTAACTGCAATTGCTTCAAGAATAATTTGGCCCACTTATGCTGTAAATTTTTTTAGGGAACTGGGATGGTTCTTTTGCCTTGTTTTGTTTATTTTAAAATATGGGATTATCAGCTCCATGGTCAGAGCTGGAACCCCATATATCATCAATGACAGCAGTACATAATGAGGAAGGCCCACAATCTTCCCACTTCAATAATTCAATAAAACAAGTCCAATTCTCTCACGCTGGTTTGCCATTGGTGCAATTCCATTGACTTCAGTGAATTTACCTCTGATTCACATTAGTATAACAGGAATCAGATCCATTGTGTTTTTTATACAAGATAACCCCAAGAAGCAAAATTCAGAGCTCAGTTTTGACCCCTAAATGCATGGCTGGATAAATTCAGAATTTGGCTTCAGACAGGACCATTTCAAAAATTAGATCAGAATCAGGATTCAAATAATCAGTCCCCCCCACCCCATTTGGGCTTCTTTTAAGGTTTACCTCTAACCCACACCCTCATACAAATGATCTCAGCCCCCTTTCCCAGCAAGTGTGAAAGGGAAACAGTGGGGCAGGACCAAAGCCATTTAAAGGGATGATGGAAACACATTGCAGCTGCACCTGTGGGAGATGGACTGTGCCTCTCTCCACGCCTTAAGAGATGATGTTGGGCAGGGACAGTGCCTCTATCCCCTGCTTCACCTGCAGCCTAGATACACTTGTGTGTGCTGGGGGGGGGGGAGAAGGAATGCAAATAGGTTGAGACAGGGATTGCAAAGCCAACTGCTGATTGGCTGGAGGGAGAGGCTGTCGGGTTAGTTAGGGTACAACACTGCAGGTTACTTACTGGCAGGTGAGAAGATTCAGGTGTGCTCAGTTCAAGCACAGAGGATACAAAGCAACGAGCTGTTGCAGTGATTTTTGGTCAACAGCTATCCTCTAGCATAGTTTTTGTGGGGGATTCTCTACAGTGCCTGAGCATGCAGGGCCATTGGGTTGTGCTAGCTCTTTGCTGGCTGGGGCAGCTGTGTGTGGGTAAGTGGTATCTGTCTGCCTGTGATCTCTCCCATTGAGATTCAAGTTCTCCTCACTTTCTGGTCTGTGATCACAAACAATGAACTGTTTTTATTTCCCCTGTCTTAATTTAAAGGCTTTAGATGTCTTTCCCCTACCCACCGAGTTTTGGGGGCAGAGCGGGGATGATTAGGGATTGCAAATCTGTATTTAAATGGCTTTGCTTCAAGCAATAGCAGTCCCAAGCAAACCGAGTCTTGTCTTTGTTCTAAGTTGGTCCAGTGTTTGAAGTAGTAGGGAAACTGGGGGGTGGGGCTGAGAAGTGTCACCAGACTCTGTCTTGAGCATAAAGCTTTTTGCAGGGGTTGTTGCTTATACTGCTCTGAAAGACTTGGAGATGGGGTGAGGTGTGGGAGTCTAGCACTAATCCCTACTTGCGTGTGCTTGTGCTCTCTCTCCTTTTTTTTTTAAGACAATATTTTTAGCATTGCTCTATTCTCAAACTACTTTTTTTTCTTTTTTCCTCTAAGTCAGGAGACCTAGAGAATGAATGCACCCTCCTCTGTCCCTCTACTCAGGACTTGCTGAAATTGCTCTCTAGTCCACTTGAGGATATAATAGATTTGCCCCTGAGTTCCTTGCTAGCACTAACTGTATCCAGAGGTTGCAAGAAGTGACTGTATTGCTTGTGGCTTTGTTCTCTTTCCAGAAAAGAGGGTGGGGTGTGAGAAGGATGGAGCATGGCTCAGAAATATTCCCAGTACAGGGTCCAAACCCACCTCTCATTTGAAATTGTCTTAGATAAACATTGTGGTTATATCTGACGGGGCAACTGATTAAATATTACACTTTTCTATTCCCTGTCTCTTCTAGCTCAGAATTTGAGGCCTCAGATTGCAAACCCCAAACTTGCTACAAATAATCCTACCCTTACTACAATTGCTCTAGAGAAACCTTTCTGTGTGTTTGATGATTCACTGTCTCCAGGTAGCTCCTATGTGGTCTACTTGTATGCAATGGCTGACTCTGGTAAGTATCTTGCTTGATTTCCTTTCTCTTCCCTGCCCTCTTTGAAGCTACGTAATGTAATTCTTTAAAACTGATGGCCTCCACTTCTGCTGGCAGTGTGTGTGACAAGTGTCCACTTGTAATTGGAAGCCAGGGCAAAGAGAACAAGGGCTAAAGTACATCTAGAACGAAAGCTAGATCCACAGAGGGTGTAAAGTGGTATATCTCTACTAGCTGTAATGGAGCCTTGCTGATCTATACCAGTTGACTGTCTGTTCCCTGTTCTCTGCTAGGACTGGTCTTAACAAAAACTTTAGCTCTAGCACTTCAGCATGATCACAATGAAGTTGGCTGACATTATATTGACTATGGCTGACTGGTCAGCATAGACAAGAACCAAGCATGTTCACTATTGTCAGCTAGTCAGGGGTGCTCTAACTGTGCTAATGTTGCATATGACTGGTCCTTGTCTATTCTGATCAATTTAGCATCAGTTGAGTTAACTGGACTGCTCAAACATGAGTACACTTTCTAATGAAGAAAAAGATGAGGTGACTTCCTAGTGAGGGTAGTAAAAAGGAAGCTTAGATTGCTGCTGCTTCTAGCTTTGCTGTTTAAAGGATGCAAACTGTATGGGCAGTCAATTTAGCAACACTTGAGTGCTAAGTGGACTTCAGCAGAGCCAAGCTAATATCAGGAGGCTCGAGTCTAGGCAAAGAAGGATGAGCCTTCAAAGAGTGTATGTTGGTTTCAAATAATAGGCTCAACTAAGCCATGTAACAACTCAGCAGCTACTGACACGGCTATAGTTGCTACAAGATTTTTCTCTCCTCAAGTCAGAGACAGGAAATGAGACCTTGTGTAAGTCTGGCAGTAACAAACTAATAGCACAGGAAATTCAATTAGCTGACAGGCACATCCCTACTTCCCATGACTAAAGAACCTCAACTCTGACTAAATCCTTAAGATAACTCCTGCAAAAGACTCCACTGTCTGAGTACCTGTGAATGTGCTAGTATTATGGGATGTCTTGGGGCTTGTCTACACTGGCACTTTACAGCACTGCAACTTTCTCGCTTGGGGTGTGAAAAAACACACCCCTGAGCGCTGCAAGTTTCAGCGCTGTAAAGTGCCAGTGTAGACAGTGCACCAGCGCTGTGCTCCCAGTGCTGGTAGCTATTTCCCTTGTGGAGGGGTGTGTGTGTGGGGGGGGGGGGGTTGTGTTTTTGTTTTTTTTTTTTTTTTTTTTTTTAATAGCGCTGCTCTCTCCCAGCGCTATGCCGCAACTACACAGTCACATTAAAGTGATGCCACGGCAGTGCTAATGAAGACATGCCCTTAGTACTGAAACACAGCTGTTTCACATAATGGCTCCAGGAAGTGCACTATCTGTAGAAGTTTTTATAAAGACTTTCCTGATGTCTGGCTTGTCTCAAAATATTCCACCTTGAAAGCCATCTGTTATGAAACTCCTCTCAAACTACTTTCTGTTCTACATACTGTAAATTCCATAGCATGCACTCCATAAATAAAACACATGCACAGATACAAAGGAAGAACTTATGCTTGGAGGAATTGCATTCAGCCATTGAAATGAGGAAACATTCCCTGACTACTTGTTGAACTGGGACAATTTCTTTAAAGTTTGTCTCTGCCTTAGAAAACAGCATATTTCTTCATGCTAAGATACCCCACAGGGTGAGGGGAGGCATTACTGACATGGATTTAACTTCCTCAGAACCTTGTGTACATTGTATAGTCCTGTCTAGCCTGGGAGTACTTGGCTTATTCCATGCTATCAAAGGAACATGCTCTGCCTTTATAATGTGCAGAGATCCTCTACTGAATGTTTGAGAAGGTAACCCCACTAGGTGTGAGGCTTTATGCTAACTTGATCAGTTGTTACTAATGTCTGACACGTGAATTTTTTTCTTAGATTATACTATACGGTAGATGAAACTTGCCCGTGAACTACCATACTACTACTTCATGGTGACTTGTGGGATGGGAGGAGGGCCTGGATTGGCAAATTTAAATGCATTACCACATATCAAATACTTAAAGCTGGGCCTTAGTGTGGCTGCACTCTCAGTATTGACTCTCTCCCTGGTGGGCAGGAGAGGGCTGGGGTGAATAAAGGCCAGACTGTTGCCTTACATTATTTGAAATATTTGGGTGGCAGAGGGTTTGGTTCAGCTGCCTCTCCTTCCTGCAGGGGATAAGTCCTGCCCCTGCTCCTTGGTACATTCACCGGTGGGGGTGGGGTGGGACTAGTTACAAAGAGCAGCTGCATGACCTGAGAAGAGGAGCGATTGCATTCTGTGTCAGAGCCTCAGCACTATGAGGGGAGAGGATGAGGTGGGGGGTTTCCCAAAGATTGACTGGTAAGGAGAAGCTTGGCCCTGGGGTGGGGAGGGATTCTGTTCCATCCTCACATACTGAGCTGTCTGAAGGGGCTGAGAGGCTGTTCCTCAGTTCTCGTGGTGGGGGACACTACAGAGGCAGGAATGAGAGAGCATTTGTACCCACTAAAAGTGGCAGAGGCTCAAGTACAAGAGTGTTTGTGGGCATCAGCAGAGCTTGCTGGGTTGGTCCCCAGCCCTCCCCCCACAAGCCCCTTCCTGATCGCTGTAGTGTTGACAGCTGTCCCTCTGTGGGCCTCCTGAGAGTCTTGATCTAATGCTAGGAAGGATATACGAAGCCTGTCTTTGTGTGTGAGTGAGAATACCTAGAGCCCTCTCAGAGCAAGGGATTCACCCATCCCCCCACCCAGACATGGAGCAGAGAGGGCTGGGGTAGCTACACAGACCCAAACACGAGCCCTTCCCATCCACCCACCAACATTGAACCCTCAGCTTTGTCAAAAGGAAGTACCCAAACAAACCCACCATGTTCAATTTTAACTTTTAGGGGCCCAACAGACCATTTCCTTTGCCCCATACCCCCACAACATCACTACCAGTGGGCACAGCAGAGGCCAGAAGAGATACAGACCCAAGACCAGCACTGGTAGTGGGAGGGGAGCCTACAGGATCCACTGTTGGCTTATCACTTGAGGGAGGACCTGGTTTAATTAACTAGCCTTCCAAGCTCCCTCAGCTTTCCCCTGTTGTCCCTTTTCAGGCTGTTTGGGAGCAATACACCCTGACAATTTACTCCACTCTGAAGGGGAGCAGCACATAGAGGCACTCCTTCTTTCCCCAGGCTGTCTTGTCAGACAGCTACAGGCATAGGGGAGATAAGAGCACAGGTGCTCCTTACATGCCTTGTGATGGAGGCAAACAAGGCCTCTGAGAGTAAACTGATTCATGGCTTGGCAGGACAGAACCAGTGCTACAGAAAGTGCTCCCCTCCCACTACCAGTGCTGGTCTTGGGTCTGTATCTCTTCTGGCCTCTGCTGTGCCCACTGGTAGTGATGTTGTGGGGGTATGGGGCAAAGGAAATGGTCTGTTGGGCCCCTAAAAGTTAAAATTGAACATGGTGGGTTTGTTTGGGTACTTCCTTTTGACAAAGCTGAGGGTTCAATGTTGGTGGGTGGATGGGAAGGGCTCGTGTCACAAATGTTATACTGAAGTATGCAATCTCTCCTGCAGCAAGCACTGTAAACTCAGCTGTGACTGACAACAGCAGCAAACCTCTCAACACCACTTTCCAAGACACCAACGGAGGACAACTTGGACCTTACAGGGCTGCATTGTTTAATGTGCCCAATTGTGCATCGCCCCCCCTGCTGGCTGATGTTGTAAATGTGAAAAAAGTTTCAAATGTCTTGAAACAATACCTCTTCAGAGTGGGAGACGATGTGACTTGTTTATATGACCCAAACTTCCCTGGTGCCTGTAACCCTCCTCTTGCCGATGATACAACCTACAGGTATAGTTCACAATTCTCTTTTGGATAGGGGTGTCCTTGCACTTGACACTAAGGTTAACTTGGTATAAAATTTACTTGCAAACTGCACTAATTGAACATAGTGAAACTGTTCCTTTCAACTGCAGGAACAGAGCCTTAATGCTCCATTAAGGGTGGCTCTGAGTACAACCAAACGCAAAAATAACCTTCACTGCCCCACCCATGCAGCATAAGCCCTTCAGTGAGGGTGTGTCTGTTGGGTTGAAACTCAAGTAAATTACTATCTTAAAGTTACAGTGAGATCCCTAAACCTTGTGTCTTAACTGGTTCTTGTAGAAGCCATTGAATGTGTCTGACTCAGTGCCTGCAGAGCTCTTATTCATCTGCTCAAGTATAATCCACCAGCTGGTAACTTGACTGTCTCTTCCATGCTTTCCTGTACCAGGGGAGCCCTGCAACACTCAGTCTTTGGACACCATCCCAGAAATTTACTATAGGTCATACTGAATTTAACTAGGAGACACTATTGTTGGAAGGTTGTCAACAACTGGCACAGTTAACAAGCACACTCAAGAACAAACTGAAAAATCTAATGTGACAGGTGGGAGAGGATTTTGTACTAACTCCCTCTGTTCCCCTCTAAAACCTCTGGACTAGCTAGCCACCCCTTTTATATGCATCTCTGACAAGATATTACCTAGTCTTCCTCTTTTTTT